GGGTTTGATCCGTGCCACCGAAACCCGTGCCATTCCGAGCCAACCCATACAATTACAGTACATTTTTCTTATAGGGAGGGGTTACATAATGTCGATTGGTGCCCGATTTGCCTTCATTCGACCTGTGTCATTTTTAATAACTTTAAAAAATTTATGATACTGTATATCAGAAGCTACCAGGCCAAATTTGATAAAAATTTTATTATTTTAGTTCCATAATTACACTATATTACCAGTTTCAATTGACTTCCCCCCTATATCAAGATCACGGAATTATTTTAATTTATTATTTATATTTATAGGTTTAATACCAGAACACATGTGGAGCTATCCACCATGGATAGACCAAGTTAAGGCTGCCGAAACACGTAGAGAGATGGGCTTTAGACGTATCTTGTACGGAGATTCAGAGTCATATCGCCATATGTGTCGTTTCAATTCAGGTTTTTTTTTTCGTCACGAACTCATAGAAAAATATGATTATTACTGGAGATTAGAACCTGGCGTTGAGTTTACATGTGATATCGAATATGACACTTTTAAATTCATTAAAGAAAACAATATTGCTTATGGATTTACTATTGCACTTTTAGAAGTGAGCGAGACAATTCCTACATTATGGAGAACAATAGTTGATTTCGTTTATAAGTATCCTCAGTATATTTCTGATAATAATTTTATTAGTTTTATAACGGGGGATGACATGGCTACATATAATGGGTTTGTACTTTATGCTTATCTTGTGCTCGGCACAATCGGGTAAAAACTTGCCGGTCAAATACTTGATCAGGTCGGATAATAAAAAGATCAATCAATAATAAAAAGATCAATCAATTATTTGGTACATATACTATAAGTAGAAACAAGATTTAAGTGGATTCGAAATTTCTTAGTTAAAATAAGGTTATGGTATAGGTTTAATATGATAAATTCTACCCTAAAATTCTAATCCAATTAAAGAATTCCAAATCTATATCCACTTACAACATATACAATTGATTTGATCTATGCTTATTTGATATCCGACCTAATTAAGCATTTGACCGTCAAGTTTTTTTGATTGATCGTGATGAACACTATGTTTATCTACTTTTATGTTTATTATTTATTAATTTGTTAAATATTTAACTATTTAAAAAATTCTTTTATTAAATAGTTGCCACTTTTGGAGTAATTTTGAGATTGGTGATTTGAGTTTTTTCAGAAGCGAAAAATATCTCCAATTTTTTGATTTTCTAGATCAAGCTGGTGGATTTTATTATGAACGGTAGATTATGTTGTTAACAATTATTTAAGAATTCTTTTATTGACCTCATTAATTCTGTAATTAATATGTATTACTTATTATTATTTTCATATATATTTACTAAAAAGTTGGGGAGATGCACCAGTTCATTCAATAGCGTTACTCCTATTCCTGGAAAGATCAAAAATTCATTTCTTCAATGATATAGGATACTCACATCCACCTTTTCAGCATTGCCCAATTAATACAGATTACCATAATGATGGTAGATGTTTTTGCGATCCTGCTAGCAACTTTGGTATGTCAATAAATATATATAAATATATTTTCATTTATTCTCAATATTAAATTTGAATATTAAATTATTTGAATCGTTTATTCTATAATATAGATGACCAGTGGGGTTCTTGTACTAAAGATTGGATTAAAAATTATTAATTCTTAAACATTTGTGTATAAACTTTTTAAATTACAAAAATACATAATTAATTCACTAATTAGAAAATTATTAGTATATCTTTTTAGTGATTATATGAAATTTTATATAATAAAAAAAATGATCACTTTTAATTAAAATTTTTTTTTTTTTGTAACGGTTCTAAATGTAAGTTCAAATTGATATATAAATTTCGGATGTTTAAATTATGTGACTTTATTTCTTTGATTTATATAAAAAACCGTACAACCAACATTGTATATTACTATAAAAGTATTATTTATCACTTGGTTCTGTGTTTTTTCCTCCTACACGATAAGTGGTCTGACAAATATAATAATAAATAACAGCTATTGGTTACAGAATACATAAATTAAAATTTATACCGTATTTTCGCGTAATTCCTACTTAGCAGAAACTTGAATTTTTGCCATTTTATGATTATCATATGATAGTTATATAACTATTATATGATAAAAATA